CCTCTCTCTGGGCTTATCCTCTGAAGGCGTGATTTTGGCATGACTGAGTGGACGGAGGAGGAACTTGGGGTCAGCGGGCTGTCACCCTGCTCTGACGTGGAACTGGCTCAGCAACAGGGCCGCAACAGGCCTTGTTGGACATGGAAGCAAATGAGAAAATTAGTAATACTGATTCAATGTTTACTTAAGATTCTGATACTTTGTCCATTATAGATCTTTTGTATTAATTTTGATTTTTTTATTATAGGAAAATATATATAACATAGAATTGAAAAGTGTACAGTTTTGTGGCATTTAATACATTCACATTATTATATAACCCATCTCCAGAACTCTTTTCACCCTGAAAAACTGAAACTCTATTACCATTAAATATGAACTCACTCCCTGTTCTCTCTTCCTCCAGCCTCTGGTGGACCTTCATTCCATTATTATTATTATTAGAGACAGTGTCCCTCTGTTGTCCATGCTGGAGTGCAGTGGTGCAATCACAGCTCACTGTAGCCTCAAACTCCTGGATTCAAGGGATCTTTCCACCTCAGCCTCCTGAGTAGCTGAGACTATAGGCACAGGCTGCCACACTCTGCTAATTTACTTATTTTTGGAAAGATGGGGTCTTGCTGCATGGCCCAAGCCAGACTTAAATTCCTGGCCTCAAGTGATCCTCCCACCTCAGCCTCCCAAAGCATTGAGATAACAGGTCTGAGCCACCACACCCTGCCCATTCTACTTTCTGGCTCTTAAATATGACTACTCTAGATACCTCATATAAGTGCAATCATACAGTATTTGTCTTATTGTAACTGGTTCATTTTACTTGGTATAATGTCCTGAAAGTTCATCCTCATTGTAGCGTGTGTCAGAATTCCCTTCCTTTTAAAGGATGAATAATATTCTGTTGTGTGGATATAGTACGTGTTGTTTATCCACTCATCATTGATGGACGCTTGCGTTGCTTCCACTTTTGGCTACTATGAAAAATGCTGCTATGAACATGGGTGTGCAAATATTCATTTGAGTCCATAATTTTGATTGTTTTTTTCTTTTTGAGACAGAGTATCACTCTGCTGTCCAGGCTAGAGTTCAGTGGTGCAATCTCGGCTCACTGCAACCTCCACTTCCCATGTTGAAGTGATTCTCCTGCCTCAGCCTCCCGAGTAGCTGGGATTACAGGTGTCTGCCATCACACCTGGCTATTTTTGTATTTTTAGTGGAGACAGGGTTTCACCATGTTGGCGGCTGGTCTCAAATTCCTGGGCTCAAATGATCCACCCGCCTTGGTCTCCCAAAGTGCTGGCATTACCGTGAGCCACCATGCCCAGTCCATAATTTTGATTTTTAAATGGTGACTACTAAGTTTTTCTGGCACCCCTTAAATTTTGTCAGGCACTTACTTGCCTTACCCTAGTCCTGGCCCCAGTTTGGGTTGTCACAGCAAGGTGGAAATGTACTGAAAAGCTCGTGTTTTATCTTTAAACGTTCACATAGGGACCAAAAAAAGGGAGAAAACCCACTTTGATAGGAATATGACAAAGGGATGCAGGAACCAACTGAAAGAGCCCCCGGGGCCAAAGATGGAGCAACTTGAGCAACAAAATAAATAAAGTAAGCATCAAATTATAGCCCAAAGTATAAAATAAGTGTCTATGAGTCTATACTAACATAGATGATTGAATACATTCATGTTAATAAATGGGAGAGCACTTTGAGAGGCCAAGGCGGGCAGATAACACTTGAGTCCAGGAGTCTGAAACCAGCTTAGGCAATGTGATGAAACCATGTCTCTACCAAAAATACAAAAATTAACCAGGCATGGTGGGGCACGCCTGTAGTTCCAGTTACTTGGGAGGCCGGAGTGGGAGGATTGCTTGAGCCTGGGAGATGGAGGTTGCAGTGAGCTGTGATCTCGCCACCACACTCCAGCCTGGGCAACAGAATGAGACCCTGTCTCAAAATAAGTAAATATATAAATAAAATAAACATACAAATAAAAATAAAAATAAACGGGAAATAAAAGACAAATCTTCCATGCAGAAGAACCCCAAATGAATTGTGTAGATTCTCCACCCTACAGGAGGGCACACACAACTCCAGGCTGCCTTAGTGACCTTCTTCCAAAGAGTACAGCACAGGAAGGAGGAGCAGGGAGAATTAACTTCACAGTGGAGAAATCGGACAAATACGACCTCAGTCAGGTGATCGAGGTCACATCAGCTGTCATGAATTATGTTGATAGTGGGCATCCTGCATATGATGGGATGAAATGGCACTTTACCTCCGTGACCCTTTTCACAACAGCCCGTAACGCCAGTACAAGGTAAACATCAGACCAGGCGCGGTGGATCACGCTTGTAACCCGAGCACTTTGGGAGGCCAAGGTGGGTGGATCAGAGGTCAAGAGTTTGAGACCAGCCTGGACAACATGGTGAAATCCTGTCTCTACTAAAAATACAAAAATTAGCCAGGCAGGGTGGCACGCACCTGTAATCCCAGCTACTCGGGAGGCTGAGGCAGGAGAACCACTTGAACCCGGGAGGCGGAGGTTGCAGTGAGCCGAGATCGCGCCATTGCACTCCTGCCAGGGTGACAGAGTGAGACTCCATCTCAAAAAAAAAAAAAAAAGAAAAAGAAAAAAGAAAAGAAAACATCAGACAGATCCAACAGAACGGCATCCTACAATATACGTGACCACTGCTCCTCAACCTGTCACAGACCATCGAAACAAGAAAGCCTGAGGAACTGTCACAGCCCACAAGGAGATGTGACAACTAAATGTGATTTTTTTTTTTTTTTTTTGAGATACGGTCCTCAGCTTTGTCACCCAGGCTGCAGTTACAGTGGCACAATCACAGCTCACTGCAGCCTTGAACATATGATCCTCCCATCCATCTCAGCCTCCCAGTAGCTGGGGCTACAGGCATGCACCACCATGCACAGCTAATTTTTGTATTTTTTTTAGAGACGGTATTTCACCATGTTGCCCAGGCTGGTCTCGAACCCTGGATTCAAGCAATGCACCTGCCTTTGGCCTTCCCAAAGTGGCTGGGATTACACACATGAGTCACCACTGCCTTGCCAAATGTGGTGGATACTTGACGGGATCCCTGGAACAGGAAAAATATATTAGGTAAAAACTAAGGACATCTGAATGACCATGGATTTTAGTAATGTATCCACATTGATTCATTAATTGTAACAAATATACCATATGAATGCAAGATGTTCATAATGAGGCCAGGGGTGGTGGCTCACGCCTGTAATCCCAGCATTTTGGGAGGCTGAAGCAGGAGGATCTCTTGAGCTCAGGAGTTCGAGACCAGCCTGGGTAACATAGTGAGAGCCCCATCTCTACAAAAAATTTTTAAAAATTAGCCAGGCGTGGTGGCACATACCTGTAGCCCCAGCTACTCAGAAGACTGAGACAGGAGGATCGCTTGAGCCGGGAGGTTGAGGCTGCAGTAAGCCAGGATCACGCCACTGCACTGCAGCCTGAGCAACAGAGTGACACCCTGTCTCAATAATAATAACAATAATAATAATAATAATAATAATAATAATAATAATAGTAATGGAAACTGAGTATGGGTTGTATATGGGAACCTTGTTCAGTTTCTCTGAAAATCTAAAACTCTTCCAAAAAGCAAAGTCTGCTTAAAAATTCACACAGGGTTTGCATTCTCGTCCACGACAAGGTTTTGCAGGTTATGATTACAGAGGCAGGAGAGGGTGCAGGTTATCCTGCCCCTCCCTGTCCCAGAGGTCCCCTTCCCCAGGAGCTGTCTCCCCTGTGAGAGAGGTTGAGCTTCTGTGCCCCAAGCCTCTTGTCCTCTGACTCCAGTATTCTCAGAAGCTGGGACCAGCTCTGAGCCCAACTTCCTGAACTCAAATCCTGGCTTTCTGTCCCTATGTGACCTGGAGCTTGTAGCTTCACTTCTCTCTGCCTCACTGTTTGACCTATAAAGCAGGGCAACCAAGGCACCCCGAGGGTGGCTGTGAAGAGTGAATGAGATGGCAGACAGCCCAGACGCCCACGGATGGGTGAAGGGACCAATACAATGCGGTACAGGTGTATTAGGGAATGAAGTACAGACACAGCCTAGACACAGACAAGCCTTGAAGACATTCCTCTAAGGGACACATGCCAGGCGCAGTGGCTCATGCCTGTAATCCCAGCATTCTGGGAGGCCAAGGCAGGTAGATCACTTGAGGTCAGGAGTCAAGACCAGCCTGGCCAACATGGCAAAATCCTGCCTCTACTAAAAATACAAAAATTAGCTGGGCATGGTGGTGGGTGCCTGTAATCCCAGCTACTCGGGAGGCTGAGGCAAGAGAGTTGCTGGAACCTGGGAGGTGGAGGTTGCAGTGAGCCGAGATCATGCCACTGCACTTCAGCCTGGGTGACAGAGCAAGACTCTGTTGAAAGAAAGGAAGGGAAGGGAAGGGAAGGGAAAAAGAAAGAAAGAGGGAGGGAGGGAAAAGTAAAAGAAAGAAAGAGAGAAAAGAAGGAAAGAAAGAAAAAAAGAAAGAAAGAAAGAAAAGAAAGAAAGAAAGAAAGAAAAAGAAAGAAAGAAAGAAAGAAAGAAAGAAAGAAAGAAAGAAAGAAAGAAAGAAAGAAAAGAGCAAACCCAGAAACGAAAGATCACACACTGTGTGACTCTATTTACGTGGAATGTTCAGAGTAGGCAAATCCATAGAGACAGAAAGCACATTTGTGGTTGCCAGGAGCTGGGGGAGGGCAGGATGGGGAATGACTGTTTATTGGATGTGGGGCTCTATTTTGGGGTGATAAGAATGTTCTGGAATTAAATTCATGGCCGCATAACATCGTGAATGTACTAAATGCCACTGAATTGTACACTTTAAAATGGTTAAAGTGGTAAGTTTTCATTTATCAGTATTTAAAAAATTCTACTACAATTTAAAAAGACTAAAAAATAATAAAAAGAATTAAATGAGATAATGCAAAAAAGCATTATCTCAAAAATATAGCTGATATTAGTATGATTAGTAAGCTAAGTTTTAAGAGTCTAAGGTGCAGGATTCTAAGTTTAAAGGGATAGGCTCTTGTCTTTTTGGTTTAGTTTTATTTGTTTTTTTTAATCCATTATCCCAAGGGTTTCCCACCCTGAACGCCAGTACCCTGGTCAGGGGCACCCTGGGTCATTGTCCTCTGTGGCCCCAGGAAGGGAAGAAAAACAACAGCCAGGAAGATAATAGCCGCCAGGAAGTCCTCACATTTCTGGAGAAATAGAGCCCAGTAATGAAGTTCTTTCAGCCTGATCGGCGGACGGGGTGCTGGGGAGGCCTGGGCTAAAGGGCTCACCTCCAGCCCGACCCTGTCAGGGCAGATGGTACATGCTCACTCAGTGAGGGGGCTCCAGAGGCCTGTGGGTACGAACCTGAGGGCTGGTGCCCAGGGGCAATCAGCTTCTGTCTCTGAGCCTTGGGAAACGGTGAGGGTCAGTCCGGCTCCCCACGTGGTTCTGGGCAGCTTTGGGCTTGGAGCAGGTGCAAACTTGGGACTAGGGCAGGACCTCCTGAGAGGCGACTGAGCAAGGCCATCCCAACTCATGTTTCCTTGGCCCTGCCTGGAGCACAGCATCCTGCCCACATCCGTGCAGCTGGCTCCTTCCTAGGGGCTCTGAGGAGGCAGTACTTGGCCATCTGGTCACAGTTGCTGCAGGGCAGTTCTTGGCCCCAGCTGTAGGTAAAGTACTGTATGTTGTAATTTTTTGAAAGATAACACATTCACATGACTCCGAATTTAAATGCCACAGACGTCCCCCCCGCTCCGTCCCTTTCCCCCAGATACCCTGTTTCTCCCAGAGGCAGCCAATGATCTCAGAGGCTGTGTACCCACGCAGAGTTATTTTATGCATATCAAGGAAAGTCTACATAGAGGACTCTTTCTGGGGTACCCAGATGCAGCAATAAATGCCATGGAATACTACAGTGAGGACATTATCCTTTCAAGCTTTCAAATCAGAGCAACGGAAAGGTCGATGCTAGAGTTTCTCTAGCGCTCTTGAAGCCCTCTCCCTTTTTCTACTGAGTTTTACTTTACATGCAACAACAGGCTTCAAGCTTGGGGTCATTGTCGGGCAACAGTATCTGGCAAGAATTCAATGTCTTTTTCTCATAGTCATTGTATTTCAGCCTCTATTTATGGCAACTGAGAGAGAAAGTTTATTCTTAGATATATTTAAGTAAAAAATAAATGAATTCATGGAAACATATTAAGCAATTATCCAGATAACATAAGGGATGGCAAAAATGGTGCAGATGGTTGAGGGGAGACAAGGAGAAGTTGGGGTGCTCTTGTCGAATGTCTGGCTCTGAACTCGAGAGGAGGCCGCCGGGGCTGGGCAGGAAGGAGGTAAATCTCTGGGGCCAGGAAGACCCCGCTGCCCGGAAGAGCCTCATGTTCCATGGGGGCTGGGAGGACATATATATACAGGCTCCAGGCTGAACGGCTCGGGTCACTCATGCACGACTGCCTGATAACCATGCTGGCTGCCACCGTCCTGACCCTGGCCCTGCTGGGCAATGTCCACGCCTGCTCCAAAGGTACCTCACACAAGGCAGGCATTGTGTGCCGCATCACCAAGCCTGCCCTCCTGGTGTGTAAGTATCAGTGCATCTGTCTGCCCTGCCAGGGGTCTTTTCACGGACACCTACTATGCCAGGAGCCTCCCTGGTCTGAAGCCAGCTCTGAAGCTGGCTGCCACACTAGCCCAGAGAGAGGAGTGCCCTGGGAGGGAATGGGCTGAGTGGAGCTGTCCTCACCCTCTCCTGACCTCACCTTCAAGGTCAAGTTCTTTGGTGAGAAGGTCCTAGCTCGGTTGCAAATAGCCAGGTGTAGGGATTTCTGTTTGTCTGAGACCCAGAATCACTGGGGTTCGAGTTAAGGTTCAGATCTGAGCCAGGTTAGGGGGTTGAGTCAGGCGGTAAAGATTAGGAGGTTGGTGTATATTTGGTGTTGGGAGTCACTCTATGGCCAGAGTCAGGGGTTGCCATGAGCTCAGGTGACAGAGGCTCTGTCACTGATTGTTGTGTGACTTTGGCCAGCTCCCCTGCCCTCTCTGGGCCTCAGCCTCTTGCTCAATACAATAAGGGTATAGGGAGGCTAAATGATACAATTTCTAAACTAGAATATCGCCAAGTTCAAGAGCCAGGATTATAGACCCCCAGGACTACAGAGAGTGTCACAGCATCGTCTGGGTGAGGCTAAGGTTAGTGTGTGGCTGGGCTCAGGGCTGCCATTTGACTAGGATCATGGGGTTCCCATGTGTCAGCATCCAGAGACTAGGGTATGATCAGGATCTCTAGCTGGGGTCAGGGTCAGAGCTCTCTGTGTCCCCTGGAATTGCCATCGACCTTAAACTGAGAGGGAGGCCCAGTCCAACCCCTCAGCTTTAAGGCCTGCTGGGGAGCCTCATCCCAGAGAGGCTGAGTCATGGCCAAGGCCGCTTGGGGGTGGGAGCAGGGGGTTTGGCACGGGCCTGCAGCCCCTCAGCCACTGCCCTCCCCTCTAGTGAACCAAGAGACTGCCAAGGTGATCCAGTCTGCCTTCCAGCGAGCCAACTACCCAAATATCACGGGCGAGAAGGCCATGATGCTCCTTGGCCAAGTCAAGTATGGGTTGCACAAGTGAGTTGGGCCTCGAGTGTGACCAGGCTGGGGGTAGGGAGGAGGGAGGAACAGCCTGGGGCTTTCCCCCAGCCCACAGGGAGGAAGGTCAGTGGGTGAGGGAAGGGTGGGGGGGAACTCAGGTCTTTTCCCTTGATCTGGAACCAGAGCCTGACACCTCCCCTACCCCCACGCTCCATCCCCTGGTGACCTGGGGGATTTATTGGAGTGTATCAACCTCTCTAACAGCCCCTCTAAGAGTCAGTCTTCACAGAGTCCTTTCCCACTGCCCTGGGACGATGGAGGTCTTATTTGGGGGTGAATACGAGGGTAGGGTAGAGAGATCTCAGCAAAACAGGTATTTTTTAGAAAAAAAATTATAAATGTTGTTTTCTTAGAGACAGAGGTCTTGCAATGGTGGCCAGGTTGGTCTTGAACTCTTGGTCTCAACCAATTCCTCCCCCCAGGCCTAAAATGAGTATCTTGACTTTATTTGGGATGATGGTTAACAGCCAAGGGTTGGTTGTGGGCCAGGTGCTTTTACAAACAATATCTAATTTTATCGTCACCCTTATCATACATTTGTTCTTTCTTTTTTTTTTCATTTTTTGAGACAGAGTCTCCCTCTGTCACTTAGGCTGGAGTGCAGTGGCACAGTCTCAGCCCGTTGCAACCTCCGTCTCCGGGTTCAAGCAATTTTCATGCCTCAGCCTCCAGAGTAGCTGGAATTACAGGCACATGCCACCACATCCGGGTAATTTTTGTATTTTTAGTAGAGATGGGGTTTCACCATGTTGGCCAGACTGGTCTCCAACTCCTGACCTCAAGTGATCCACCCACCTCAGTCTCCAGAAGTGCTGGGATTACAGGCGTGAGCCATGGTGCCTGGCCTATCTTAATCTTTATCATATATTTTATTTAGCCTCTTCTGTAAAAGAGGATAATGCCATCGCCCGGGTGGCCCTGCCCAGCTCTTTATCTATCTTAATCTTGATTGATTGATTGATTGATTGATTGATTGAGTTGGAGTCTCTCTCTGTCACCCAGGATGGAGTGCAGTAGCGCGATCTCAGCTCACTGCAACCTCCACCTCCCAGGTTCAAGATATTCTCCTGCCTCAGCCTCCCTAGTAGTTGGGATTACAGGCGCCCGCCACCACGCCCGGCTAATTTTTGTATTTTTAGTAGGGACGGGGTTTCACCATGTCGACCTGATTATGAACTCCTGACCTCAAGTGATCCGCCCGCCTCGGCCTCCCAAAGTCCTGGGATTGCAGGCGTGAGCCACGGCGCCCGGCCTATCTTAATCTTTATCATATATTTTATTTAGCCTCTTCTGTAAAAGAGGATAATGCCATCGCCCGGATGGCCCTGCTTAACAAATACGGAAACAGGAGCTGATAGAGGTTTCGCAGCCTGGCGGAGCTCATGTGCAAACTCAGCTCAGTCTCAGGAACTCAGCCACCTTCCTGGCACCTCAGGCTGCCCTGGAGCCTGGGTCCCCGTCTGTGTGTAGGTCTGAGGCCCCAAGGGTGGGGCAGACATTGTTCAGGGACCTTGTCTTTGTCTTAAAGCCAATCTCCTCCTCCTCCCCAGCCCCGCTAAACATGCTCCCCAGTGGTGGTCTCTGCTACCCGCGCACATTGGGCCTGGAGTCTTGCTAAATGTTTCTGAGCCACCAGGGGGCGCCGGCGGTGCAGGGATGCCGCTTCGCCTTTTGCAGGAAAACTACTGCCGCTAGGGGGTGCTGTGGGGCGTCCCAGGTCTCGCGCAGCCACGCCCTCTGTGTGACCTTGGGCTTCAGTTTAGGCTTCTGAAAAGGAGAATAATGGGCAAGGTCCAGTGGTTCACGCCTGTGATCCCAGCACTTTGGGAGTCCGAGGCAGAAGGATTACTTCAACCAGGGTTCAAGACCACCTGTCTCTATGAAAAATGTAAAAATTAGCTGGGTGTGATGGTGCGTGCCTGCAGTCCCAGCTACTCAGGAGGCCAAGGTAGGAGGATCACTTGAGCCTGGGAGGTCAAGGCTACGGTGAGCTATGATTGCGTCACTGCATTCCAGCCTGGGTGAGAGAGCAAGACTCTGTTGCTAAGAAATAAAAGAGGATAATGCTACCCTATGCCTATGTTGCAAGAGGTCAGACATGGCAAAAGCGTCTTGAGAAGTTAAAGAGATAGCACCCTTAATAAATTAGCAATAATTCAGTAAGACCAGACTGCCATAGACTAGATGTCACAGTCATTAATATATAACTGTTATCCCAAATATATATGGGTGGGGTAGAAAAAAATATGATTGGCCATAAATATGATTGGCATGATTAACATTAGATGAAGCTGGATCATGGCTAAAATGAGAATTCTCCACACTATTCTCTCTAAAGGGAATAGAATAAGATAGAACAGAACAGACGGGAAAAGCCAGATATACGTGGATTCTCCTTGCTAGGCGCAGTGTGTCATAGTGGCTTATAATATGGGATTTGGAGTGGGATGGACCCAGGATCAAATTCCCTTCTGCTGAGGTTTTCTGAAGCCACATAAGCTGTCTGAGTCATTTCTGTCTCAGTTCACTGGGTACAGCAATAGTGACCACCTCGTCGGTAGCTGTGAGGATTAAATGAGGAAATGTGTGTAAACTCTCAGCACAGTACCTGCCACACAGCATGTGTTCGGAACATGATGGCCGCTTCTATTGTGTCATATTCCATGTGCTCAAGCCGGGCCCTGGGGAGAGTTCAGCAAGGGTAGAGGGGTTTGAAAGTGAATGTGGCCCACTGGCCTTCCTGCCTGCAGTCTCTCCTCTCTGATGCTTGCTTCCTAAGGGCCTTCACTGAGCCCCACCTCTGACCAAGTCCCCGGCGGCACAGATCCTCTGCTGGACCTACATTAAGACCCCAGGTCCAACACTTCTCCCACTGTGCAGCTCCACCTCTGCCCCGGGGCCTGGCTGAGGCCTCCTCCAAGCTGAGCCTCCTACTATCTTCCAAACTCCCACCCTCCATCCGGTGTCACCTCCTCTGGGAAGCCCTCTGTATCAGTTTCCTATTTTCTGCCGTAAAAAATCACTCCAAGTTTAGTGGCTTAAAATGACACAAGTTTATCATTTTACAGTTAAAACGGCTAGAAGTCCACCACGGCACTCCCTGAGCCAAGATCAAGATGTTAGCAGAACCAGATTCCTTCTGGGGGCTATAGAGAAGAATTAATTCCCTCGCCTTCTCCAGCTTCTAGAGGCTTCCCCCATTCCTTGGCTTCCCTCCGTCTCCTTTTATTTCGGACGAGGGGGGCTCCCTGCTCTGACTTTCTCATTTATGGTATTCCCCCCTGCTTTCCAGCAGCTGTGATTGTCCCAAACCTGTCCTCTGGTTCTCTAGGCCAGAAAAACTATGATCTACCAGAGTTCAAGACCTTGAAAGGGCCTTTTCCCACTGTCTTTTCTCACAGTGCAAGCTGGAGCCCACCTTCGTGCTAGAATCTGTGAAAATGGGGAAACGCACCTTGTGCTGTTCTCTTCCTCCACCCGGCATCTCCCCTGCAGTCCAGCTGGGTTTTTCTGTTTGTTTGTTTGTGGGTTTTTTTGTTTGTTTGTTTTTAAGACAGAGCTTTGCACTTGTCACCCAGGCTGGAGTGCAGTGGCATGATCATGACTCACTGCAACCTCCGCCTCCTGGGTTCAAGCGATTCTCCTGTCTCAACCTCCCGAGCAGCTGGGACCACAGGCATATGCCACCATGCCCCACTAATTTTTTTTTTTTTTTTTTTCATTTTTAGTACAGATGGGATTTCACCATGCTGGCCAGGCTGGTCTCGAATTCCTGACCTCAGATGATCCACCTGCCTCAGCCTCCCAAAGTGCTGGGATTACAGGCATGAGCCACTGCGCCTGGCCTAGTCTGACTATTTTCACTTACTCTCTAATGCCTCAGGTAGTGTTTATTGTATTCTGTGCAGAGGTCAAGAATTTAGTCATCAAAGGAGGTTAGTGTGTTAGGAGCTTATGCAGCTATTACCAGAAGAGACTCATCCCAGCACTTTGGGAGGCCAAGGCGGGCAGATCACCTGAGGTCAGGAGTTCAAGACCAGCCTGGCCAACATGGTGAAACCCTATCTCTACTAAAAATACAAAATTAGCTGGCGTGGTGGTGCATGCTTGTAATCCTAGCTACTCAGGAGGCTGAGGCAGGAGAATCACTGAACCCAGGAGGTGGAGACTGCAGTGAGCTGAGATTGCCCATTGCACTCCAGCCTGGGCGACAAGAGCAAAACTCTGTCTCAAAAAAAAAAAAAAAAAAAAAAGGCTGGGCATGGTGGCTCACACCTGTAACCCCAGCGCTTTGGGAGGCTGAGGTGGGGCAATCACCTGAGGTCAGGAGTTCAAGATCAGCCTGGCAACATGGTGAAACCCCGTCTCTACTAAAAGTACAAACATTAGCTGGGCGTGGTGGCGGGAGCCTGTAATTTCAGCTTCTAGGGAGGCTGAGGTAGGAGAATCACTTGAACCCAGGAGGCAGAGACTGCAGTGAGCCAAGATCATGCCACTGCACTCCAGCCTGAGCAACAGAGTCAGACTCAGTCTCAAAAAAAAAAAAAAAAATTGGTATGAGGTTTAAATTTCTGTAGAACTGAAAGAGGATTGGAGATTGTAGTACGGTCTAATTCTACATTAGAGCATTTAGAAGAATGTAGAGTCTGTTCAACATAGTGAGACCCCCATCTGCACCAAAAATACGAAAATTGGCCAGGCACTGTTGGTGCCTGCCTGTGGTCCCAGCTATTCCAGAGGCTGAGGCAGGAGGCTCATTGGAATTCGAGGCTGCAGTGAGCTGTGATTACACAACTGCACTCTGGCCTGGGCAACAGAGAGCCACCCTGTCTCAAAAAACAAAACAAAAAAAAGAACAAACTAAAAAAAAAGAAGAAGAAGAATTTGGAGCAATCTGGTTGTTTCCTATACTGTAAGTCTTTGCCAATCTATTTAACAAAAAATATTTTTAATTTTTGTGAGTACATAGTAGGCGTATATATTTATGGGATACCTGAGATGTTTTGATGTAGACATGCAACGTTTTGTCTATTTTTTTGTTTTTTTTGGCGACAGAGTAAAACTCTGTCGTCTAGGCTGGAGTGTAATGGCGCGATCTCAGCTCACTGCAACCTCTGCCTCCTGGGTTCAAGCTATTCTCCTGCCTCAGCCTCCTGGGTAGCTGGGACTACAGACACCCGTCATCATGCCTGTTTAATTTTTTTGTATTTTTGTGGTGACGAGATTTCACCATGTTGGCCAGGCTGATCATGAACTCCTGACCTCAGGTGATCTGCCCTCCTCAGCCTCCCAAAGTGATAGGATTACAGGCGTGAGCCACCACGCTGGCCTGCCAATCTATTTTTGATCTAACTTGACTTCTGCTGGTGTATTCATACTCTTCCGAATCAATTTTCACCCTTCCTCACATACCATTTACATTTCTAAGAATTTGTCGATTTCATTTCATCTAATTTATCTCATTTGTTGGCATACAATTGTTCATAGTATTCTCTTATAATTCCTTTTATTTCTGTAAGATTGGTAATTATAGCCTTGCTTTTATTTCTATTTTTAGTAATTTCAGTCTTCTTTTTTTTTCTTGCCAGTCTAGCTAAAGGTTTATTGATTTTGTTGATCTTTGGGAAAAACCAACAATTGTTTTCACTGATTGTTGTTGTTCTTCTATTATTTCGTTCGTAGGCACTAAGATCCTGATTACTTCCTTCCTTCTGCTAGCTTTGGGTTTAGTGTGCCCTTATTTTTCAAGTTCCTTAAGGTGGAAAGTTTGATTATTGACTTGAGATCTTTCTCTTTTCTAAAGACAGGCATTTCTATATATAAATTTCCCCGTGAGCATGGTTCCCTCCATCTTCAGCCCAGCAGGGTTGACTCTCTCTGGGCATTCTTCCCTGGTCACCCCTCCCCCACCTCTCCTCTTCTGCCTCCTTTTCCACTTTTCAGCAGCCTGTGATTACATTGGGACAACCCAGAAAATCTAGGATCATCTCCACACCTACCCCCAAGGTCCTTAACTTGACCATAGTTGCATATGGGTAACATGAGTTGAGTGTAGTACCCAGGGTTTGACATGTTGGGTAACATATTTGCAGGTTCTGTGGATTAGGAGGCGGACAGTTTGGGGGCCATAATTCTATCTTCCACCCTCACCAAGGCAAAATTGGAGGCTCGCTCCTTGGGCTCCCTGGATGACCCCCAACATCCTTCCTCACTACCGTTCCTTCCCAGCATCCAAATCAGCCACTTGTCCATCGCCAGCAGCCAGGTGGAGCTGGTGGAAGCCAAGTCCATTGATGTCTCCATTCAGAACGTGTCTGTGGTCTTCAAGGGGACCCTGAAGTATGGCTACACCACTGCCTGGGGGTAAGCATTCCTGTCAGCTGATGCCTTATGCCCTGGCCCTCTCTGGGCTGGAGAGCTGAATGAGAGTCCTGGGTCCTTGGCTCTTTCCAGGCTGGGCATTGATCGGTCCGTTGACTTCGAGATCAACTCTGCCATTGACCTCCAGATCAACACACAACTGAGTATGTGTATAACATCCTCTGGGGAAGTGGGAGCCGGACTCCAGGGCTTGTCCTCAGCAGAGTGGGAGGTTATGCAGGTGGAGGGTTCTGGGGCCACCAAAGGAAGCCTGGCCTGGGAAGTTTGCAGGGCTGGGGAGCCAAGAGCTGGCCAAGCTCTTGGCTGGCCTGGGCAGCATGTGGATACTATCCAATAGTGGAGGCTGCCCTAAGGTTGTGTCGGGTCTCCCTGCAGCCTGTGACTCTGGTAGAGTGAGGACTGATGCCCCTGACTGCTACCTGTCTTTCCATAAGCTGCTCCTGCATCTCCAAGGGGAACGAGAGTAAGTACACCGCCCTGTGGCCCCCATTCCTGCTCGTGCCCATCCTGTGAGCATGTCCACAGCCCCCTCCAGGCTCAACCCCACACAGGGCACGCTTGTGGGTGGCCAAACCTGGGGGTAGCAATACCTTCAGTGGGGTCACTTCCTACTCCTTCCCATCAATACACCCTCAAAGGCTGGAAAAAACAATAACCAACAGCTAGTAACTAACAGCTACTAAGAACTTGCTGTGTGCAAAGCACTGTTCCAAGCCCTTTTCATGAATTAATTGATTTTGTCCTTAAAACCAACCCTAGGATAGAGATTCGGTTATCATTCCCTTTTTACATATGGGTAAACTGAGTCACAGAGCGGTTAGAAAGGGAAAGCTCGTATCTACAGAGTGCATCCTGCATCCCAAGGACCACACTAACTCACAGATAAAACTCCAGCCAAGCTAAGTAACTTGCTGAGGACACACAGCTCGCCACTGAGTGATGGGAGTAGGATTTGAACCCAGCATTCTCTGACCCCAGAAACTGAGTTCCTAGACATTTTACTCTCCTGCTTCCCAGGGTGGGGCTTTTTGTCTTGGCCAACACCGTCTGTCAAGGATCTGTGGGTAACCCCATTGCACAGAGGAAGATAACGAGGTTTGGAGATACCCTAGTCATGTAACCAATGCCAAACCTGGAAGGCAGAAGGGAACTGGTAGGTAGGGTCTGGAGAGGAACCCTCTATTCAGGCCATTTTCTGCCTCTGGAGCAGATGGACACATGTGTGAATCTGGACTCCAGACACGTTCTCGTGTATGTGACAGGTGTGAGTGTCACAGGAGCTGGGCCCCTCCCGAGGAATTCTGGGATGGTGCCACAGTTAATTCTTGGGTCTGAGGCGCCGCGTTCTCAGCTGCAAAATGGGGGTGATAATTCTTACTTCCTGAGCTACACGAGTCAGGGCCAGCAGAGCCCTGAATGGTGCCTGGTACACAGTAGGCGCTCCATGGATGCACAGGACTGGTCAGGGGCTTATTGTGGTGCTTGCTGCCCTCAGGCCCGGGTGGATCAAGCAGCTGTTCACAAACTTCATCTCCTTCACCCTGAAGCTGGTCCTGAAGGGACAGGTGAGTGGGGCTGGCTGACTCCCTGTGGTCCAGGGCCATGCCCGGGAGGCTGGAGCCCTTTCCTCCCTGCCCCCCTGAGAACGTGCCACTCCCACCTTCCCCATGTGGCCAGTCCCCTGTGCCAGTTCCCAGCACTGCCACCAACACGCAGCTGGAAGGAGGCACTGCCTTGCCCCTCCTCTGGCCTCCTTTCCTCCCTGGAAAGCACCTGCTCTGTCTGCCCCAGATCTGCAAAGAGATCAACGTCATCTCCAACATCATGGCCGATTTTGTCCAGACAAGGGCTGGTGAGTGTGTTTCTGTCTGCATGCCTCAGAAGACAGCGGTGGGAGCCAGAAAGCCATCTGCTGCACTACATGGCCTTGGGACCATCACTCCTCCTGTCTAGGTCCCATGGGCTCTGTCTGGCTCTGACACTTGATGATTAGTTACGGGCAGGCTTTGGCAAATCTCTGCCCCTTTGGGCTGCAGCCTCACAAGCTGTGTGACATTGGGCAAGTCACTTAATCTCTCTGAATCTCAGTCTCTTCATTGATAAAAATGGGGCGATAATAGCATCTACCCCACAAGGTGGCTGTGAGAATTGCGTGGGAAAAAAATATATGTAAAATAAGATAGTGCCTT